GGGGCGACGGGCGGCAGCGAGGGCCATAAAACCTTGGAGGGCGCACCGCCTTAAAGGAGCCGCGTATGACCCGCGTTTTCTACCGGAAGCGTTAGCTCAAGTTTGGCGGATGTGAGCCATTCGCCTGTTCCTTCTAGGAACACGCTGGAGCGTGTTGCTGGGTCCGTTGCGCCGGTACGGCCCGGGCTGGCGCCCCAGGACGGGCGTCCGCGCCTGGTCCCTCAAGGGCCCACGCCTGACCCCTGCAGGGCAGCGCTCCTGGGCCGCCCCAGCCCAAGGCCAGGTGGCCTCCCTGTCCGCCTGCTCAAACTCGGACTTTATTCGGGAGAGAGAGCTGGTTCAGAGAGCTGTGCACCCGTGTCCCGGCAGGCTGGGAGAGTGGCACCTGTGGAGAAGGAGCGGGGCTACCTGAGGATAGGAGGGGCGGGGTGACACATGCAGTTGCCGAACCGGCCCTCCATCACCTAGACTAGCTTTTAAAGCCTCTGCACCTTGTAACTACCCCTTAGATGGCGCCAGATGACTGCGGTCAAAGGGGGAAGGTGACCAGAATTCCTGCTCCTGGTACCCAGAGGAGTGTACGTGAATTCCCGGTCCCTTTTGTGAGCCTGCAGGCTGCTCTGCTGTGGGTAGGTGGTGGCACAGCCTTCTCTCCTGGGGTCCTCCTCTGCCTCCCTTTACAAATGAGGAAGGGGACACCCAGAGAGGAGGCCACCAGGGCGGGAGGAGAGCCTAAGCTGGTCTTCTGCAGCCTCATGGGTCTTCAAATCTTAGGGTGGCATAACCCCACAGCCCCAAGGCTCAACACAGGCCTAGGTAGGGTACTCTACAGCCTTCTGTCTTCCAGTTAAAAAGCACCAGGCACGCCTGTAATTCCAGCAGCTGAGGCAGAAGAGGCTGAGGCTGGGAATCCCAAGTTCAAAGCCAGCCTCAGAAATTTAGCAAAACTCTGTCTCAAAATAAAACCTAAAAAGGGCTGGCTCCGTGGTTAAGTGCCCATGGGTTCTACCTCTGGTACAAAAAAAAAGTGAGGGCCGGGGTTGTGGCTCAAGTGGTAGAGCACTTGCCTAGCATGTGCAAGGCACTGGGTTCTTTCCTCAGCACCACACAAAAATAAATAAATAAAGCTATTATGTCCAATTACAACTAAAAAACAAAAGATTTTTTTTAAAAAAAGCATGCCAAATGACACAGGAACTGTCAAATGACAAGCTCCATCCTTGTCCCCATGCCAATCCAATAACAAAGACATGGTTTTGAGGAAAAGAAGTTCTATTGCTTTCTAGAAAAAGCACAGAGAACTCCTGTCCCAGAGGCTGTGATTTTGCCCATCAAGGGGAGCAGGAGGCTTTTAAGGAGATGATTCAAAAGCATGTGTTCTCTGTTGGAGCTGTAATTCACTTGTTAACTTGAGAGATAGTCATTTCTGAGATCTTCTGGAACCATCCCCAAAGTCTGAATTACTTTGTTCCTGTGGTGTGTATGTATGTGCTCAAGGACAGGTAACTCTGCCTAGGATGGATTGCTAATCCTGCTTCCCCCTGAGATTAGGAAGAAGGAGTAATTAATTATGAGGGAATGGGGAGAGAAAGGGAAAGAATGTGAGGATGGTCTTGGGCCTGAGCCTAAGCAAGTCCATTTTAAAAACTCCAGTTTGAAACCTGCAGTCTCACTACACTTGCCTAACAGAGCCCTCTAGTATGGCTCCCTGGCACAAACAAGTCACTTCTCCCCACCCTGATAAACTCAGAGTGAAGCCTCTGGAAAGCTGGCCTCCTCGATAGACCTAATAAAAGGTAAAGGCGAAAAGCTCAGGGTGGGGACCACCAGGCCAGATGTTTTAACCCCAGGGTAAATGATGTCCCTGAGAAATCCGGTGGTAGCTGATAAGGATTGAAGAAGGGTCAAAAGCCCAAAAATTTAGTATAAATAATAGAGTAAATGAACAAATATTCAGCCAGCCAAAACTGATGCCCACAAGCTGGAGAGCCTGATGAGGACCTGGACTGACGTCCCATCACTTGTCATTGTTTGCTGATCCTCTGCATCTTCCTCACCGCTCTCCAACTCTACAGCCATATCTTGACCCTGGTGAGAGCCATAACTTCTCCCTACGACCCCCTCCTCAGCCAGCCGCCTGCTCCGTCCTAGGAGAAGCCTACCTTGGTTCCGGACCTGATCACTGCTATCTGAGTGAGTGGGCATCTGTGGACTCACAGCCTAAGGCTTGAGACTTCAGACCTGGCACTTGAGCTTAATATGCAGAGGGAATGTCTGTCATTAGCCTGTCATGATTAAGTGTGTCTGCAGGCTTAGAATTAATTAATATAGGGTTGTTTGCTGTGAATTAATTACTCTAGGATTCTTTGCTGTGGATTGATTATGTCTATTGCAGTGCCCAGCATTAAGGATTGCCGTTTTCTTGATTAAGAACCTACAGAGTGAAATTGTATTGAGCGAGTTGAGTGAATAAAGCATTGACTAGGGCAGAGGTGCGTGGACATTCTTTATTTCTCCCCCTGGACTGCATATGTCACACCTTCTTCCCACTGCAACAAAGAAACATGTCCGTTAAGAGTAAGCTGCAATGGCAGAGCAGCAAGTGGACCTCTGTTACAGGAACCTCTACCAAGATAGCAGGCCAGAGGGTGGGCGGTTGCCATAGCTACAGGAGCCCTGAGAAGCAGTTAGTCTGAAATCCCCTCCCATAAAGGAAACAGAGACAGCTCCCTGTGGGTCTGTGTGCCCAGGAGGCCTGCTCCCTTGGGCCAGGTGCCCTGGAGCACAAGGCAGTGACTATGGCAGGGGAGGAAGCCACATCCCATGAAGAATGGCTTCTCTGTCTCTCTCCACCCACCTGCCAGGACCAGACAGGGACTGGGCAACCCTTCACCTCTCTCAGAAGGCTTTCAAATCCTTCCATATTCGGCCCCACCCTAGCCCCAACTCAGGCCTGCTCTTTTCCAAACCACTCCAGAGGAACTTCTAAAACCCCAGCTCTGATTTGTCACTCCCCAGTTGAAGACTCCGAATGGGCTTCCTATGTCCTCCAGTCCATAGGGACATGATCAGACTCCCCCTCCCCCTCCACTCCAGCTCTCCGCACTGTGCACTTCAGGTGCCACCCAATCAAATCCAAAATACTTTCCAACAATTCCAGAGGCTGAGGCAGGAGGATCGAAAGTTCAAGGCCAGCCTCAGCAATTCAGCAAGGCCCAAAGCAACTTAGCAAGACCCTGTGTCAAAGAATAAAAAGACTGAGGACATGGCTCAGTGTTAAGTGCCCCTGGGTTCCATCTCCAGTACCAAAATACAAAAACTTAGTGGCCCTTAGGGGTTCTTATGGATTGGTGGGTGGATGGGGGGGACTAGATAGATTTGAGATAGGAATCTGGGGACACATCAAAGGGAGAGATACAGAGTCTCAAGGAAAACACTGCATGAACCATTGAAATGCAGAAAGCACCCTTGATGGTTTCAACTCCTGTGCCACCTACCCATCCCCTTGGCCCATGCCCTGGTCTGCAATGAAGAAACTTGAGGGCAATGGGCAGGCCCAGGAAAACAGGCATGAGAGTGTGTAGCTCCGCCCTGGCTCCCCCTATAGTCCAGCCCCAAGCAACCACCTTTCTATAAATACTAACACCCCACACCAATGGGCCACTCTTTCTCTGGATATGGTCCACATTCACCATTGACTGTATTTTCCCTGCTCACCCCAAAACTCTCGAGATCACCCACATTCTCCTGGAATGTGTCTCCACTTTCCTAAATAAGCCTGTCCGTGCCTTTGACTAGCGCATGCTGAAATTCTTTTCCCTCAAGTGCGCCAAGAACCCTATTGGTCCTGCGTTGAGTTCTCCCCCCTTCTCTCCAGGAACTCCCAGGCCTGTCTCTGGAGACAACTCTTCTCTGAGGACATCTGTGGGTCATGGGATGAGATACGTTGGTGGATGGGTGGATGAATGGGTGGATGGTTGAATGGTGGATGGGTGTGTACTCAACTTTTTCTATTGTGACAAATACTTGAGAAAAACAACTTAAAGGAAGAAAGATTTATTTTGGCTCATGGTTTCAGCCCATGGTGGGCTGGCTCCATGGCTTTGGGCCTGAGACTGGGCAGAATATCCTGGTGGAAGGGCAGCGGAAGGCTTTCCTGTTCACAGCAGCCAGGAAGCAGAGACAGAGGACAAGATCACCCTCCCAGGCCCCACATCTGCAGTTCTGACCACCTTTCAGCTGTCCTTCAGTTATCAATGGGTTGACCCATCAATGATGTCAGAACCCTCATGATCCATCACTGTCCCCAAAGTGCCATCTTTGAATACTGCTGCTTTGGCAACCAAACCCTGAATACA